TAGTGCTGATAAAGAGAGGTAAAACTGTGGCAGTTTTGCTAGCTGATGAGACAATTCTCAACATCTTCTGTTCTTTTGCAGATCTTTGATGTGGGAGAGAATTTGACTGTCCCTGATGAGTTCACAGTGGAAGAGAGACAGACAGGGATGTGGTGGAGACATCTGGTTGCAGGTGGAGGTGCAGGTGCCGTGTCCAGAACCTGTACAGCTCCCTTGGATCGCTTGAAAGTCCTCATGCAGGTATGATGGAACAGTTCCAGTTTGTTTGAATAGCCTGAAAGCTGATCCCCTTAATGTTCTTGCCAAAGTGATATCTAGGAGGTGATCACATTCATTAACTTGATATAGCACTTTGGCTAGGGTCAATCATGTAGCTCCTATATTGGTATTTTGGAAGTCTTCTTGGATAATTTTAATGGTCAAAGTCATGTCAACACATTGTCCTTCATTGACTAGAAAAGATAGAAGCTTTTGAGAGGTAGGCATGCGAAAACTGTCAATAATTGGAGAGTTTTGTGGTTCAGAGCACTGAATGAATTGGATTTTTGTGAAACAGGTTCAAGTTTTGGGTGTTGAGTGGTTGTGGTGGTGAACTGACAGAGCTGGTGTTCATGCAGGTACTGTGTGTTACAAAGGAGTTACAAAAACCTAGTTTTAGTTTGCCTTTTCACTGTACCTGCTCTTGAGTCATCTGAGAAGTCTGTTCTGTATAGCTGGCCCTATGCTAGGTATGGGAGATGGCTGCTTAACCTTTCCCCCCATTTCAGAGGAGTATATTGATTAGATCCGTTAGTTAACATTGGACCTCACAAAAAGGAAGAGAAGCTTGCTTTTCTATTGTAGAAGTTATTGAGAAGGGATTAAAGCCTTGGCAAAGCTCTGGGTAAATAAAAAAAGTGCCCTTTTGTCCCTGGATTACAGAAGAACGTAACACTGTCGTAATCAGGACTGGAACTAATCCAAATTCACTCTCTCTCTCTCCCAGGTTCATGCCTCCCGCAGTAACAACATGTGTATCATTGGTGGTTTTACTCAAATGATTCGAGAGGGTGGAACAAGGTCACTGTGGCGAGGGAATGGCATCAACGTGCTGAAGATTGCACCGGAATCTGCCATCAAGTTCATGGCTTATGAGCAGGTAAGTGAAAGAGCTTGGGAGGAATCTGACCGCAGCGGGGGCTGCTGAAGGACAAGCTGAAAAGAGTGGCTGAGGTAAAGCCAGTGAAGCTCAATGTCTGTCTGCCTTGTTTTCCACAGATCAAGCGGTTCATTGGTACTGACCAGGAAATGCTGAGGATTCACGAGCGGCTGTTAGCTGGCTCTCTGGCTGGGGCCATTGCACAGAGCAGCATCTATCCGATGGAGGTGAGACCACTGACAGTGCAGCCCCTGGAGGGTCATGGGAGGGTGCCAGGATGAGAGCTGATGTTCTGCCCGTATTTCTGAGAACTCGTTAAGCAAGCTGATACCAAGTCATGCTGCTCACATGACACCCGCTGCAGTCCTGACCGTCCTGGCTCTTAAGAATTGCATCTGTTCTCCTCTTGATTCTCCTGTAGATGTTAATGGCATTCATTCTTGTCTTCTAGGTTCTGAAAACACGGATGGCTCTGAGAAAGACAGGACAGTATTCGGGCATGTTGGATTGTGCCAAAAACATCCTTTCCAAGGAAGGAATGGCTGCCTTCTACAAAGGCTACATTCCCAACATGCTAGGAATCATTCCGTATGCTGGTATTGACCTGGCAGTGTATGAGGTATGGAGCTGTTAATGCTTCCGTAGGGCTGTGCTGCTTGTATAGCTTTATCAGTCAGACCAGTCGGTTACTACAGGAGTTTAAGTAACTTATCAAAGCTCTTCTGATCAGCCTTAAGGGGCACAGATGATTTTCCTTTCATAATTGGCATCATGCTTGATGCCGTGTTTCTTTTTTGAGAGAGTTGCAGCAGAAAATTAAAGGTTTTCATTCTCCCAGACCCCTAAAGTGGCAGCAACTCAAAAAGATCTGAGAAGCCTGGCTGATATTGCATGTACCTCCCTGGGCCTTTGTGCTAGATCTTTTATGTAACTTGTTGTTCTTTTGATTGCATCTTCACTGCTAACATCCAGCTTGTTCCCTCCAGACACTAAAAAATGCCTGGTTGCAGCGCTATGCCGTCAACAGTGCTGACCCTGGAGTCTTTGTCCTCTTGGCTTGTGGCACCATATCCAGCACCTGCGGACAGCTTGCCAGTTACCCCTTGGCTCTTGTGAGGACACGCATGCAGGCCCAAGGTGAGAACTTCGGGGAACTCTGTGTAGTGTGTGCACTCCTGCCACGGTCTCTGAGCAGGGTAAAGGTCCTCCGGTGCAAACATTACAACAACAGCCTTAACTGGCCGTGCAGCCGAGCAGTAGGCTGTGTGCCACGCTGGACAGTGGACTTTGTGCTGTCCTCTGGAGTCAAATGTTTCTGGGACAGAGTAGTTCTGTTTTCCTCAATCAAGAGTTTGGGCTAATGGCATCTGCAGGGCAGTTTGGGAAGATGGCTGTGATGTACAGCACAACCATGGCTCTCTGACAAGTTAGATGTTCTCCTTAGAGCACCTTTGGTCTGTGAACATCCGTGGGAAGCGCGTGGTTCAGAACTGCCCTTTGAGCCAGGTGTTGGCCTCGTGTTTTTGTGGCATAGGTTGCATTATTTATTGCAGCTCTTTGCGTTGCAGCTTCTGTGGAGGGTGCTCCCGAGGTGACGATGCGGGGACTGTTCAAACACATTCTGAAGACTGAGGGAGCTTTTGGCCTTTACCGTGGGCTGGCCCCAAACTTCATGAAGGTGATCCCAGCCGTCAGCATCAGCTACGTGGTTTATGAGAACTTGAAGATGACGCTGGGCGTGCAGTCACGGTGACCAGGAGATGCCGAGGACTTGGAACTCTGAAATCTTGGGGTGCGATCCCAAGACGTGCTGTCATCTCTCATTCTGTGAATGTGTCGACACTAAGCTGACTAAGCAAAGCTGTGAAATCTCAGATAGTTTGTGAGTCAGGAAGGGGAGGGGAGGATCTGGTGTCCTTTGCCATCTTGCTACTCAGAGCTCTACAGAAACCATCACATGGTCCTTTTTGTTGGGCCTTTTGGGAGGCTGGGAGCTGAACTCCTGTCCCAGTCTTAAGGCATTTGTTTCTTTGAGGTCAGTTCCCAGCAGTATGGCAAAGTAGCAAAGATTTGGGGAACAGTCTGCTTTCAGCATATTTGTGTACAGAGCTGTTTGCCTGCAGATGAGCACCTTCTGACTTGCTGGAAGAGCTTCTTTTTCCATTCAGTTGTTAACTTCCTACCTGTTGTTCAGATTTGTACAAACCTTGTGGAGGAGCTGCTGCCACACCAGGCTTGTCATTATGTTTACATATATTCCTTTGGGTAGGAGATATTCATGTTCTGCTTCCAAGACTTGACATGAAAAGTGAGTTTTTTTGAACTATTCTGATTTTGAGGGCTGGTGGGCAGTGGTTTATCCAGTCAGGCTGAATGTTACTTAGGCCAGCCTGATGAAGGATTAGGATTATTTATTTTTTATAGATTTAAGTGTGTCTCATAAATCCACTAACAAGATGCACTTACTAACAGAAGCAGCAGCCTAGAGCCTGCATGCCTGTATCCTTTGCATGCCAGACTGGCTTGTCTTATACTCAGCAGGAGCTTGGAAAGGGGAAGGCTGGAGAGCCCTGGGTGGACTGGCACCTCGATGCATGGCTTCAATGAATAAACAACTATTCCACAGCTCCTGTGCAGCTGTGCTCCCAGCACGACACGAGAGCCCCTGTGCAGCACTGCATGGACCTCTGAATTCCATTCTGCCCGGTGCCCAGGGTGCCTGATGGACCTTTCCAAGCCCCATGCCTATGCTGCTACCTATCTCTTTAGACCTCTTTGTAGTTTGATGTTCAGGTTTGCATTAGCAGGATGGAGTCCCCAAGCCAGGAGTCTGTCTGCCATGGGGAGGGCTGCAAGGGAAGGGCTGGTTGTCACTCGGAGACGTCAGTTCAGTCCTGAAAACACGCTTGCTTTTCCTTTCAAAGGGTGCTTTTCATAGGGCTAAGGGAAAGAGATGGCTTTAAAATTTCTCTGAGTTATGGGCTACTTTAGTGGATAGGATCTGGCTGCTGAGGCCTGGGAGATCCTCATCCAATTTTTCATTTTGGGCAAGATGGACCACCGTTGCATTCCACTGTTTTACTGCTTAAAGCATATTTATTTTGTATTTATTTGAACAGATTTATGCCAGACTATTTTTATAGACTTGTTTAAATATTGTTACTGTGCTTGTATTTCTCCTCTTTTAAAAAGTTCTCTGTTTTCTTACATCACACAGCTGAGTCGTGGGGAAGGCACTAAAGTCAGTAGCGTCCCTTCCCTGGGGGTCTGAGCTGCCTTTCCCCAGCGTGGGGTTGTTGCTGGAGGACCTCAGCCCAGAGAAATGCTGTAGCAGGAAGCCATGGGAGAGAAGGGAGCTGGTGAGGAAGCAGGGATGAGGGCAGGGAGCGCTGCGGGGCTCGCCTTACTTGGAATGGCCTCCACGCGTGGCTGAGAGGGTTTGGGGGGAAGTTGGGAAAGTAGGTCTGTGCATGTTGGGTGTCACAATGGCTGAAGGAGAGCGATCCTGGGGAATCTGTGAAGGGGGAGGAGGGAGAAAACTCGGGGACTGAAGAAAGCGTGACTTTCCAGAGAGATGGGAGGGAATCTGCCCTCGGACACGAGATGCTGCAGTTGTGTTTTGGATCAGCAGATCCTGTTGCTGAGCCACTGCTCCTCATGTGCTGCTTGGGGGGCATGGTGGAGAAGTGTGCCAGGAATCAGAAAAGGTTTTGTTGGTGCTCAGCAGCTGAGTTTGGTTCATGGAGAGTCTTCCAGGTGAGGCTCTGCCCTGACAGTGCTGTCAGCATCAGCCGCGTGGGAATCCAACCGATCCACATCTGTGATTAAGAGTTTTTTCCCACCTCCCTCTTTCTTTCTTTCATTTTTTTTTTTTTTTTTTTTTAAGATCTATGGTAAATTTTTGCAGTGGCTTCTTCCTACCAGTGTGGCCTAATGAGACAATGAATATCAGAATGCAAAAATCAATGCAAAATGACAACTGTCTTTGTAGCTGTAACCACAAATTGTTATAATGCAAATCTAACTCAGATTCTTCATGTAGGGAACAGTCTGCTAATAAAGGTCTGTCAAAGAGACCCCTCGTGTCCATGTCTCTCTATGAGGGGTTGGTGCTGCCTGTGATCAGATTTTTCCTCCTTAGGATGATTGTCACCAAGGATGCTGATGGTGGGAGCAGTTTTCCCTACAAGGACCTGGGAGAACAGAATTCTTCCTGAGGGAAAGAAGAGTGGAAATGAGATTTAAAAAAAAACAATTAATGATGGTGAAGGGTCAGGGACACGTGGGTGCTGTCAGCTTAGCTGTGTGCTGTTGCGTTTTGCTCATCTGTTCAGTGTCTGCACTCAGAGGAGCGTCCTGGAAAACGTGGGAGCTCTGCAGTGCACTTGTGCCCATGAAAAAAACAGGCTTTAGAGATTCTCAGAAGAGGTTTTGTTCCATTTCTGTCTTAAACAAAAACCACCTGTGAGCTGAAAGTGCCAGGAGCCCACAGCTGGTAGTGCAAGCAGCCTCTGTGTCCAACAGCGTGCAGCTGGGGCTGTGCTGGGGTTGGTTCCTGCGTCTCCAATTGCAATTCAAGGCTCTTACTCATCCATAAATCTACTTATCGAGTGCTGCTCCTTGCAATCTGAGGGCTGCGTTCCGTGATGTCACTCAGGGTGTTCTCAGAGCCCCTGGCAGCACCCGCTGCCCTGCCCAGCCCTTCGGCTGCTGGACTGCAGCAGGGTGAGGGGTGCAGCTGGTGGGGATGTGGCAGCAGAGCGTTGGGAGCTCCCTGCCCTGGGACCGGGAGCGGATCTGCTCATCTCGCTTCGTAGAACACTTCCAGCCCCGTTTCCTTTAGTGAAGGCTCAACAGAGCAGCGCTGCCTTACAGGGCACGGACAAACCCGGAGCCGCAGCGGGGGGCAGCGCAGGGCTCTGCTGCTCTGCGTCCTTTTTTAGGAGATATTTTTAGTGCTTAATTGCTGGATGAGAGCTGAGCCTCGGTTACCTTCCAGCTCAGCCCTGGCCTTGTTTAACCTCCAGCTTCCACAACCACAGAGCAAAACCGCGCTGCACCCCGGCACTTCGCCATAACACATCGAGCCCTTTTTGGAGAAGCAAAATCCCGTGGGATGGGTGAGATCCGCAGCCGGGCACAGCCTCACGAGCGGGCGCCGATTGCCCTCTCCTGGCCAGCCATCACCCTGCAGGGATCCGCTCACCCCGTGCCCAGCGGTGCCCACCATCACCCACTGCCGGCCCCGCAGCCCGGCTCGCTGCAGGACGGCTCGTCCCAAACGCTGGGGCAACGACACGCAAAATAAACCAGGCGCTCGGTTCCTTTTTGCACGTCCTGCTCGGGTGGTGCTACAGCTCTGAGCAAAGCATTTATTGCTGCAGGCTCCCCGTTGGGGTGCTTGGCAGGGCTGTGCCTCGCGCTCCTCCATCCTTCCTTTCTTCCATCCTTCCCTTCTCTCCCGGTTGGCACAGCTCCTTCAAAACAGTCACCAACAAAGGGATAAGTGGAACTGTGCGTGGCAGAGGTCACCCAACCCTCTGTGTTCCTCTGCCCTGATATCCCACACCTGTGCTGATTCCCCCCACCAGGGCCTCTCCCAGCATTTTTCATCTCACCCAAAGCTCTGCGCAGTGCTGACCCCTCTGTGCCCCCCACATCTGATAGGTGAGAGCTGAGCACAGCTCCAGGTGCAGCCCAATGAATCCCACACCCCCCTGCTGTCCCACTGCTGCCATTTGGCATCATCCACCCACATCATCCACCCGTCTCCCTGTGCTCCCAGCTCCAGGCAGGGCTTCTACTGGGAGAACTGGGGTGCACTGGGTGAGCTGAGACCTGCAGGAAAGGTGAGGTAGGAGGCTGGTGTGACTGGGCTGTGCAGGGGTAGTGCTGATGTGGGTATTTTGTTACTGGGTGGAAAATGGAAAGGAAAAGCCCTGTTTTACAGAGAGCAGGTGTGGAGGTGGGCAGGCTCCATCCCACAGCAGGAGGAGCCCTTTTTGGGGCCTTCTGCTGTCTGGGGGGCTCAGGGCTGGGGTTGTGGCCACAAAGAGTCTCATAACACCCCAAACCATTGAAGCAAGGCAGTGCTGAGGAGCACCTTCCTCCACGGCGCGTACACCACCGCCCCTCTGCTCAGCCCCAGGCTCTCTGCCTGCTGCCCCAGCTCCTCCTGCTGCGTGCTGCTCACCGTCCGATTGCGGGCTGCAAGGGCAGAGGGTTTGTCACACATCATCCCTGCCTGCATTTCATCCCCGTGCTCCCATGGATGCTGAGCGTGGGCCACCCATCACACCCAACCCTGAGCATCAGTTTTTTTTTTTTGCTTTTTTTTTTTTTTAAACCCTCCATGCTAACTGTAACCAGTTGCACAAACCTCACTGGTGCTGCAGGGAGGGATGCATGACTCAGGCAGGTTTATATCTGCCAAATGAGGCTTTGAACTTCCTTAAGTAATGGCTCTGCAGCTTAAAAGGGTAGCAGGGGTCTCCGTTAGGGATCTCTATTGAAGGACCCTATTGGGAGACTCAACAAGGGAGCTGTATTGGAGATTTCTATGGGGTCTCTATTGGGGAGCTCTACTGGCAGACTCTCTTGGAGGGATAAATCACAACCTGGCATGCCACTCTATGGGGCCGTGCATGGCCCCAGCCAGCTCTGCCCACGCTGGTGCTGCTCTGCACTGGGAGGCAAATGCAAAAATCCCAGTTGGCTTGAAAAGGCAGATTTCACAACAATATTGATAGGAAGCACACACTGTTCACTGTTCTTTGCAAATAGGTTTTGTCCTTCATTTGCCCTCTCTGCTCAGAGATTTACATTTTAATGGGATGCTGATACATTCCTGTTATCCTTATGCAGAGGACTCAGGAAAATCCCAGGTTGCTGTTGGAGCTGCTGCGGGTTTACCTGGCAGCTCTTTGTGTGCACAGCTTTAGGTGACTCAAGGGTGGGGTTTACATACCATAGAGATACAGAGCTGAATACGTCCTCTCCCTCTGCACGTGGTGCTGGATGAGCAGAGTGTCCTCAGAGCTGAGCTTTGTCACCGCCCCCAGGATGCGCTGCGTTGTGGCTTTGAGAGAGCAGAGCCGGGGTTGGGAGCGAGAGCAGCCTTAGTGCTCTGAGATGTGCACAGCCCTTCCCGAGGGGTTGTGAAATGATTTAGGAAGCAAGGTGGCTCCTTGCATCCTGGAGTAAAGATTTAATTCACGCCCTCCCAGCCAACACACGCAGCCACGGCCCCGCAGTGCTCACCATCCTTGAGCAGCGCCGTGCCGTTGGCACCGAGGTGGATGGAGGTGGAGTTGTTGGAGAGGCATCGGTCACCCCTGCAGAGAATGGGGATGCTGGGGCACCCGCAGAGGGAATGGGGTGGGAGAAAACGACCGGGGATGGAAAGCGGGTGCCTCACACTGCCACGTGCTGGGTGATGAGCAGCTCCTGCCCGCCGCTGGGCTCCACGTGGAGGTGGCCGTGATCGATGAGCAGCAGCTCCAGGAGGTGCTGGGGGAGCTGTGCAGCTCCAGCCACGTACTGCCACGTCCCCAGCAGCTGTGGGAGAAGTGCAGGGTGGTGGGGGGTCCCCTGCAGCCCCCCCTTGTGTAACCAGTAAATATACAGATGTTATAATTAAGAAATATACAAGCAAGTTATCACACTAAAGAAGAATGGATGGAAAGCTTACCCTTATCCTGGGCTTAGCTGAGAAGACTCCAAGAGGAGCAATCTCCAAAAGAAATCATTCCCTCCTGGTAGTCAGCTCTTAAATGGGGTCTAGGAGAGGTGCAGCCAGGCTCCACCCCTTCCAGTAGCACAGGAGAATTGCCTTCACCTGTGCTCCCAGGGCTGACTCATTGCTCACCTCAGGTGGTCAATCAGAGGTTCAGGTCCCACCCCCCCCCCTGCACCCAGACCCTCCTTACCCACGGCACTGTTGTGTTGGCCAGGCTCGGAGGTGCTGTGGGTTTGTGGGGAGCAGCAGCTGCAGACAGCAGAGCTGTGAGGATGAGGATGGCAGAGATGCCGGCTGGTGCCATGGCTGCTGGGGGGAGAGGAGTGAGAGAAGCTGCCGTGTGGATGGACAGATGGATGCTGCTCCCTCGGCTGTTTGTTTGTGCAGCCCTGCAGCTGCGCATGGCAGGGCTGTGGTGATGCAATGGCACTTTTCGGGGAAATGGCCCTGGTGGGAGCCAGCCCAGCACGGTGCTATCAGTGGCTGGAGGTGGTGAGTGGGACAAAGCACTTCCTGCAAGGAAAGATGAAATCTGATCTAAATTTCCCCATTTCAGCCACTGTTGTTGCTCTGCAAATGAGGAGCTGTGCTGCTTATTGGGATGTGGGGTGTAGGGAGCTGTCAGCTCTGGGTCTGAGCCAAAATGGTGCTGGCAGGGCTGTGGGGGCTGCCCCAAGCAGGGTGAGTGTGCTGGGGGCTCACCCTGTGTCTGAGTCCCACCTGGAACTGTCAGCTGCTTCCCCTCACAGGTTTTCCTTTGTGTCTGGTAACCCCATTTATCCTGCTCTTGGTCATGGCCATGGGGCTCTGTAGCTCCTGTCCTGCTCATGGCCCCCACACACCCACCAACTTGGATGCAGCAGTGCCTTGGAGCTGCTCGTGGAAGCAAACCCAAGGGTTGGATCACTGCCTCCCTGAGCCATGGCCCGTTTTGGTGACCGTGAGCCCTCCATCCTCAGGATTTTGTCTGGTTTGGGGCAGGGATGGGGCCCAAAGCCAACACCGGTGCTGCCCACCCACACCCCATCCCACACGTGGGCACGATGAAGGTGAGCACACGGCAGGCAGGTGTCACACACAGCTTTATTCCAGGTCCATGTGAGAACAGAAAAGCAGCAAATTCCTTCTGCGAAGGGCATCGTGAAGTCCTTGGTGGAAGACATAAATCCTCGTCGGCGCATCCCTGGCAGAGCAGAGCACAGGGGGGATGTGGGCTCACCCCTGCTGTGGCTCTGCGGTGGCTGTGCTGCCTTCGCCCATCTCCTCTCCAGCTGCAGGACAGGCATCCTGGGGAGGGGGGACAGAGCTCATTCCTGCACTGATTGCCCCCACGGGGAGCCCTGTGCCCGCGGGGCCGTACCTTGGGGGAGGTGATGAATATCTCCTCCTGCTTGAAGCCGTGGCAGCGCAGTTGGGCTTCGAATTCCTCCAGCTGCTCCTTGGTCACCTTGGACGTCCGTGCTGTAGGAAAGGTGGTGTAAAAGCAGGAAAAAGGGGGAAATGAAAGGGTCTGCGTGTGCTTGGGGTGCTCCCAGGCGCAGCGTGCTCACCTGACAGGCTGAGGCCCACATGGTTATCCTTCAAGTGCTTCAGGATGAACAGGTCCTTGTCACTGTGGATCAGCTCGGCCATGGACAACTCCTTCCCCTCCTCTGGAAGACAGAGGGGCCGCGTTCCCATAAGGCAGCGTGGTGGTGTTTGGGGGGATGGGTGCCAGGAGGGGCAGCAGCTTTACCGTGCACCAACGTGGAGTTGTGCCGAAAGACGTGGATCTTGCTGGTGTTCCTCACCACGCATGTTTCATTCCTGGGGAGGCAGAAGATGAAACAGGACCCAAATTGCACCACGTACATCTAGAGGGTGTGCTTTGTACTGCAGCCTCCTCGATGGGCTGGCCAGACCACTGCCACCTGTCTGTTCCCTGCCCACAGCTCAGGGATGGCTCTGACTCGCTGCCTGGGAGCATCCCATCCCCATCTCCCTCCCCATCATCTCCCTCCCCATCATCTCCCTCCCCATCATCTCCCTCCCCATCATCTCCCTCCCCATCCCATCCCATCCCATCCTTACAGCCTCATGATTTCTGTCACATTGAACTCGTCCTCATGCCTGCCAGGGAAGAGGGTGTAGGTCGCATACTTCAGCTCCTTCATCTCAGCCATGTGCGGGGGGTACTGGGAGGCACCCATGATGTACACCCAGTGCCCCAGCAGCTGCCGGCAGAGCAGAGCAGAGGGTCAGGGATTGCAGATGCATTACAGACCCCAGTGGGTTTGAGGGGTCTGGGGGATGGAACGCAGCACTTCTTACCCCGTCCACCGTTGCGTTGTCCATTTTGGCAGGGACGAGCGGGGCGCAGGTGGGGGAGTCGGTGGCACGGGCATCCACCAACCCCACGGTGAGGGTGAGGACGGGGATGAGGAAGGCCAGCATTGCTCACTCTGGGGCTGTGGTGAGGCTGCAGTGTGGGTTGGATGCTGCTGCACGCTGGCACTTATATACAGCCCAGCCTGTGCGCTTATTTAACCGTGGGGCTGTTTGCTCAGGCATGAAGCAATAGCAGGTGATGGGAACTAAACTGGCAAAAGATTGCTTTCTTCCAGCAGGAAAGGTGAAAAAAGCTGTATTTCACCACCGGGGACTTTTGTTCTCAGAAAGCATAACCGATTGGGTGTGTGTTGGGCCGAGTGCCGCGGGTTTGTTTGTGCAAAGTGCTGCAGGGCAGTGAGTGCCACTGAAGGCGTTCGTCCGTGTCCTGCACTGCCTGGGGCAGACAAACACCCGTCCTGGCACTGCTGGTGGCACAGCGTGTGTGGGGGCTGAGGGCTGTGGTTTGTTCTGCCCAGAGAAGAGGAGGATGAGGGGGTCCTGATGGTGGCACGCAGCTCCAAACTGTGATGGGGCCCAAGGGACAGCATGGGGCTGCCAGGGGAGGGTGAGGAGGGGCTGGGAAAGGCTGCACCCCGTAGGATGGTGAGCACAGCCCCGATGCCAGAGCTCAGGGAGCGTTGGGACCCCACTGTCAGCCATAGGGTTGCATGGTGCTGTGTGGAGCCCTGGGTTGGACTTGGCGGTCCCTATGGGTGCCTTCCAACTTGCAGTGTTCTGTGATCCTATTCTGTGAATCCTCCTGAGAGAGGAGAATTTGGGTTTCAGCTTGGAGCCACTGAGGTGTGATTTGTGGTTCAGCACTGAAAAGGTTTGTCTCTCCCTTTCTCCTTGCCTTCCTTTCCTCCCCCCCTTTTCCTCCCCCCCTTTTCCTTCCCCCCTTTTCCTTTCCCCTTTCCCCTGTTCCTTTCCTGTTTCCTTCCCTTCCCTTTCCCCCACACCGTGTCAGGATGGGGATGAGGATGAGGAACGTGCTGGTGACCATGGTAGGGGCTCACCATCAGTTGATTGGTGGTGAGATGGAGGATTTTGGGGCTCCCTTGGCTGCTCTCAGCAGCACCCTCACCCCCAGCAATAGGGCATCACTGCTCCTCGCACCCACAGCTGCTTATCCCAAGAAAAAAGCCAAAAAAAACCAAAAAACAAACAAAAAAAACCCAACCCAACAAAAAACCCATAAAAGTCCCATATTGTTGCCTCAGTTTTAAATATTTATTTAAAGTCCAAATTAAAAATTTAAAAAAAAAATCAAAAAAAAAAAAAAGAAAAGAGGAGAAGGGGGAAAAAAAAAAAGCATTAATGAGAACAAACAGTAACTGCAGGCTGGAGCAAACACAGAACAGCAGGGTGAGGATCTGTGAGTGGGGTGAGGTATGTGAGATGGGTCCTGTGAGCCACAGTCGATGGCTGCTGGCAGTAGGAAGGGAACACACAAAGAGAGACACGCATCCATTTTCTTTTTTCTTTTTCTTTCTTTTTTTTTTTTTTCCTCAAAAAAATAAAATCCATAGTCCTTAGGAGATGTGAAAACCCCAAACAGGCACTGAAGCATTTCTGATACAGTACAGCTCCGATTACATCAATATTATTCCTTATATAGAATTAAAGATTACCATAATTATCCTCTTTAAAAAAAAAAAAAAAATCCTCCAAATTTACATACAGAGACTAAATTTCTACACAACTTAACAAAACACAACCCCTGCGAGCCCGGCTGTGTTCTGAAACAAGGCATCATGCTTTCAGATGTGGCAGAGGGGCCCGGATAGAAGGGGAGCAGGGCTGGGTTTTACACGTGAGCTCAGAGCTGCATGCGTGGCTGTGGGTCAATGTCAACATAGCAAATGAGCTGTGGGGCAGCTGACCCCATGCAGCGCCCCGAGGCTTCACCCTACAGCACTGCAGGTGAGCTGCAGCCCTGCTCCCCAACCAGAGCAGTGAAGTGCTGATTTAAAAACAAACAAACAAACAAACAAAAGGCAAATTTGCTTTTAAAATCGTAGCCTGAAAGGTGCACTTCGGATGTGCTCTGAGTTGTTGCGCAGGATTGGCACCCATGGCAATGAAAAGATCCCTTTAAAGGTGTTTCTGTGATTTAGCTGTAGATAGTAACCTCCTCTCTTCCTAGAGAGGTGGTCCTATGGGCTTTTTTTTGGGTCTGTGGCAAGCCACTGTAGCACCTTCACAACCTTAAATAAAATCATATATATAAAATAACACACTTTTTTAAGAGCACCAGAGATTTCACAGTGAGAGGTAGAAACAAATCAGACGAGCCCATCCTCTCTCTCTATTGTAGCACCAATCTCTTCCCCTCTCCTCCTTCCATTCCCCCCTTTCAGCTTTGGGACTCTCCCCCACCCCAACACCATGCACATGAGAAGGGACGTTGGTTCAACTCACCCATGGAAGGAGCAACTTTAGTTTTTTCCTTTTTTTTTTTTTTTTTTTCCTTCCTTTTTTTTTTTCTTTTTGCTTTAAATAATATTTTTAATATATATATATATATATATATATATATTTTGTTTCATCTAATATTGCACATCAAAATGGTTCCGGTGCGCAGAGCAGCCAGCGTCGCATTGCAGCTCCTCCTGGGAGAGCCCGGCCATCCAGGAGGCGCCCAGCTCTGCGAGGGAAGCCCTATCATCTCTGAATTACTTGTCAATGGGAAGAACATTTGGTAACTCGGGAACCAGGTAAGGCAAAAAATAAGGGGGGAGGGTGGGGAAACCACGTGCTGCGAGTTGCTTGAGGTTTCTCTCCATGTTTTCTTCTTTGGTCACGGAAAAAGCTTTGTGTGTGGAACCGCGTGCGACACCTCGTCCCCTGATCCCTTTGCACTGGTCACATCCCAACTGACACCCGCTTCCCTACGTCCTTTGTATTCCTCCTTTCAACAACCTGCTGAGTTCAGTAGATCACGGGTTGTTTGAGGCCTTGAGCCAAAGGCTAGAGCAAGAGTTGACCCAAAAGATACAGCCCAGCTGTCCTTGCTGCAGAGACCCTGTGTAAAGACATAGGCCAGAAGTGGGGTCAAAGCCTTGGAGCCCGGGTTTGATGGCATTGTTCAAAGGAAGCACACGGGGCCGACCTCGAGGTGATATTGCTTTCCTGGCTCGGATGGGGGAAGGTTGTAGATGTTGACGATTGGCAGCTGCTGGGTGTCCTGCGTCCGAAAGGAAAAGAGAGTCCGATGCCAGCGTCCATCCTTGATCTGCACAGGGGGGAGGGAAAGACAGACAGAGCTGCTTAGCTGTGGAACAGAGCTTAGAATGAGACCATCACTGAGGCTGGAAAAGACCTCTAAGAAGTCCAACCGCCACCCCGTCCCTACCCACTATGCCCACTGACATCGAACCACAAAATCACAGAATGGCCTGGGTTGAAAGGGACCTCAAGGATCATGAATCTCCAACCCCCCCACCACAGGCAGGGCCACCAACCTCCACTGACACGTCCCTCACTGTCACATCTACACAGTCAATGAACACCTCCAGGGATGGTGACCCCACCACTCACTGGGCAGTCCGTGCCACTGCTCTTTCTGAGGAGAAATTTTTCCTAATATCCAATGCAAACCTCCCCTGGTTCAACTTGGGGCTGTTCCCTCTTGCTGGAGAGTGATGAGTTTCACTGTACCATATGACTATGAGACACTGTACCATAGACCTGAGTAGGCCTGGTTCAGAAAAGCATTCTGGGGAACACTTTCTCCCAGTTGAGTCAAAGGTAACATCTTGAAATAGCATCACAGAACAGGAACTGAGACCCTTCTCCCCCCTTTTTTTGGAGGTGGCCATGGAATAAAAAGCACTGGCACAATCTGAGTCTTGCTGTGTGTGCTGGGTGGGTTCAGTCTGGCATTTCTCTCCTTTCTTTGGGCACAACATACCTTGCAATCATCAGCTGCCACCTCCGGCTTGAGCTTCCCCTCTGCCTCAAACATTAGCCCATTCCACGCCTTGAAGCGCACGGCTTTCTGCGAAGGTTTCTCTGCAGAGCCCTCCCTCCAGACAGAGGTGTTCAGGCAGTGGATGGTGATGTGCTGCACCACCTCCGAGCTCAGCAGGCGCAGGAAGTTCATCTGGACTCTGCCGATGTCAAAATCCAGCTGTGAAGGTGACAGAGGTGTTAGCAAGGCTGGGAGGGAGAACGGTCCTTCTGTGCAAGGGCAGAGGTGCTCCCTGCACTCTGTGAGGTGGCCACGCATGGATGTCCAAGCCCAGAACTGGTTCTGGTGTCAGTATGGGCAAGAGGACCCAACAGAAAGATGAATTGCTGTCATGAGGAGACAGCAGGTCCTTTATTTTTTGGAATAAACATGCAGGCCCTCAAGCAGGAGGAAAATGATGAGTGTTCTGAATGTGCTCTGGGCACTGCAGATGGACCCGGATATTGCTAGGGGTATTTTTTGTTACAGGTACTTCCCTGAAAAAAATCCTGTGGCATTCACTTTGGTGGACACTTGTGTATTTAAGCTGACCTCAATTTTTCAGGCAGCAGAAAACAAACGGCAAGAGTGACCTGAACATAAATTAATCCAACAAAGCCTTTGGGAGCAGCATGTTTGCTAAATTACCGGCCTCTATTAAGGTTATGGGTTAATTAAACACTACTGGAAACGTACTGCTCTATCTTGCAAAGAGTCAACAACACCATCTTAGGTGTATTTTTTAACCTGATGAGAGCAGTGCTGAAGGCCAGCAGCAGAGCTGTGCTCACTGCCACCAGGATAAGGCAAGTGCTGTTACACTGGTCACTGTCCTGTGCTCTGGCAGAACTCAGCCATGGGTAAACATTTCATAATGTGTGTATGGGAAATGCTGCACAGGATGAGGTGTGTGTACCTTGGAGACAGTGATGGGGCTGAGACACGTCTGTCCACCATTGGTGAAGTTGCAGGTGACTTGTATGGTGTCTGAGGAACAGCCGAGGTTTGGGTCGATCCAGTAGGTACCTGAGGAAATGGAGGATGTGGGGATTAATGAGAACACTTAATCTTTTCTGTGCATAAGCAACAAGCTTTGGTTTCTGCATGACTGCCCTCAGTGGTCC